CCACCTGGGAGACACACAGCCCCCTCCTGCACCAGCAGCTCCACCTGGGAGACACAGGCTCATCTCAGTATTGATCATCGCCAGCCTTGCTCTCATTCTGACAGCACCATTGTTTTTAATCAGTTTTAATACTGCATTCAAAACATCGCCGATTGTAATCTGTTCATACTGAACTCTGTCATACGAGTGCGCTGTTTAATCCTGTACTTCAATACCCTGAGCTGAGAAAATAAAGGTTGTTGAGGCTGTTTCCCGCCTAATTATTTTGATGTTTCAGAGCTCTTCCCCAATAACCGGTAACACCCCCCCCTCCCCCCATTTACCATATTAAATATTAAATTCACGGCGAAGTGAGGTGTAGTGTGCGCAGATTCGCCACAATTACTGCCCTTCCTCTCCGCTGTGTTGTGGTATTGAATAGCAGCAGGAGCGGACAATGTATAAAAAGTAAAGCCCATATCAGACAGGCTCTACTGCGGTCGACCTACAGAACCACACAAAAGACGAAATGCATAGAACGAAAACATCACATATAACAAAACGTATTTTAAACAAATGATCACTCCCGTCTCATATGATTACTTTCCACTTTACAACCTTATTTGAAACAAAAACACTAAACGATCACAGATATACACAACGGAGCCAGCGACCTCGCCGGTAAAGCGCTCCCAGGCCGGACAGAGAGAGAGCTGCGGAAACGGGCTCTTTTCACAACGGTCCCGCACGTACCACTAATTTGGCGACATGTTTGATTTCTGCTCTGCCTAAATTGAAAAAAAAAATACACCCAACTTCTCTAACAGGAACAGTAACTGAAGAAATTAAAATGAACATCCAACCCCAAAGTTAACTTATGGTACACTAATTAATATCAACTATATTTCCTTCCCACCCCCACCGAGAAACCTACAGTGGTACCGTTCCCGCCCTGCAAGGGACGCCATTCTTCACAACGAACTACTGTATTTACAAACCGTCCAGTACTTCAGTGGAAAATCACAACTTTACTCCGTTACAGAAGCACATTTCTAGTTTTACATCACGTAGCCAAAGACAGGGCTTCTTCACACTCTTGTAGCTAACATGAAACTAATAAACAGGCCCGTTTCCAACATATTTTACCAACGATTCTTAGGTTAAGGTGCTTTAGGGAGAAGAGGATACCGGCATGCCTTTCTTGTCTTCAAGACTCAAAACGGCATTACACGTAACGGGCTGTGATGTGTGTGGAGACGGAGAGGGCCGCACCTCTACGCCAGTAACGGCTCCACAAACATGAACTCAGGAAAGAGACTCTCGCGCCTCAGGCTCGTGCTCGTTTCCTTGACAACGACCTAACAACCTGACGCCCCCGCCCCTCCTCCCCAAGTGCCTCGAGGGTCCTACCTGCTGGTCTCGCGCGACCAACCGCCGAAACGACCAACTGTATTTCTCTCCGAGTCAGGTAATTTATCTCCCGCTACTCACAATATAAACACTCCTTTAAGCGTTACTACATGTCACATTGCTCACAGTACACAGACATATTCCTTCACAGGTATTTCATCTCAGACGTCTCACAATATTAACACTCTTTTCCAGTAGAATTATCTCAAACATCTCAATATACATTGAGGTGTTCTTTAACAGGCCATTTATGTGAGACTGCTTGCAATACAAAAGGTCTTTATAACAGTTAATGTCTCTTTATCTTCTCTTAACACGAATAGATATGTACATACTGCTTAACAGGTGTCTTCAGACTGCTCACAATATAAACGCAGCGATATTGGTTTTTATTTGCATCTGCCCATACCCGGGACAAACTCCAACTTCTACAAAAGTGTCGTTTGAAGTGTCTGAAGGAAATAGTAAGCACGATAACATCCAGATACCTTAAGAAAAACAAAACTGACTAAAAGTGATAGCTCGCACGGTCTTACGGAAGCGCATTGCTGCCACCAAGGGGAAAAATCGCCCCCTTATCTCGTATTAGGAGATAACTAATTATCTGGCAATGACGAGGTAGTGTGAGACACTGTATTTGGGTTGACATGTTCAGTGTTTTGTATGTGGCAATGTGTCTATCGTGAGTAAAGTCGTGTTTAGTCTCTGACCGGGGAAGAGAGGGGCTGTGTCCGTTATTCTTTTTTGGTCTGCTAGTATTTTATCAATAAAGCCTGCTGATCGGCCAGTGAAAGCTCAGTTTTCTTTCACACGAATGCCGAAAACCCTAAACCGAGCCCGGGGTGTTACAATAGCGCTGGCGACTGCAGTGTCTGTGCGAGCTGTGAACGTCGCCCTGAGCCTGCTGGCGCTTTCGGGTTCATGGTCGTGTCAGTGTCCAGCGCTGCTGCTCTCGACTGGGGGCTAGTCATAATGAAATCTTGCCATTCTTAGCCAAGATGAACAGAACCGGCTTTGTGTGATTTAGAGATCACAGCAATGACGGTTCCGTTATGAACATTTATACGTGCGATCTGTCCCACTGCTTAAAACTCTCAGCCCGCACGTAGCGATATAGGTATTATATGACAACTGTGCCATCGGGTGTTCACATGAAGTACGCGAGAATGTTCCCGTAAGTGCGCTTTCCTTGGTGGCAGCACTGCGCTTCCGTACAATCTAGCACACACACGCTGTGAAAAACAGCCCTTCCAAACATGCCGATACTGAGAAAGAAGAGACAGTCGAGGATATACAGCAATGCAGTGTGGATACAAAGCAATAACGTAAACACCCTTGCACTGCATATTTATCGTAGAGGAGCAACTTGCAAATGACAGTAGCAGTCTGACAATGGAAAACACTGGTCCACTGGATGCCCATAGAGGACAGACTCGGTGACCACAGCCTGGACATTGAAACTGCACACAGACAGTCTTGGCTGTCCAGGGAGGACAGACTCAGTGACCACAGCCTGGACATTGAAACTGCACACAGAAAGTCCTGGCTGTCCGGGGAGGACAAACTCAGTGACCACAGCCTGAAAATACAAACTAGACACTGGCAGACCTGTACAAACAGGACAGGCCGTGCTCCCACTGCCAGCAGGGAGAAGCAGAGACACTTTCTGATGCACTGTGAGTAACAATCTAGGATTAGACAAACATTCTCCCCTAGACTAAGGTATCTAATCCCAGAACTGCCACATCTGCCTAATTGAGAACAGTCCTTCAAGAAGAGAGGGGAATAAACTCAATAGAGCTGCAACCCAGTATGTGACCTCCAGGACAGGGCTGCGTGACAGGAGAGATACAGGAGCCTTTAGTGTCGGTGGGAGGAAGAGAGAGGAAGATTTAAGAGTCATCAGCATGAAATGATATAAGAAGTAGTGAGAAACTAAAACTCTTGATACATTTAAATATTCATGAACAGGCAAATTAATCCAAATTGTTCACAACACAACCACTCCTTAACAGGTACTGGTCCCAGTAAGCAAGAACACTGTAACGTGTGAGACTATATCAAACTGCACTGTACAGATTCAGAGAGATTTCATTTATTTCACATATCATTTACAGAACACAGTTTACACACTGTTAACAGGGCAGCCAGATCTAGGAGGTGTTGCTCTGGAACTGTGTCAAATGCTGTGCTCCTGTATTACTCCAGGGCTGATGGGGGCTGTATTAACTGTATAAACAGCTGTATTACAGAGGCGTTGCTCTGGAACTGTGTTAGGAGCTGTGTCAACCGCAGTGTATTGCTGTATTACTCCAGACTGATGGAGG